CGTCAAACCGTGACGTCACCTGATATGCCAGCTTGCAGCTGACCATAACGTTAGTCAAAACATGAGGAAAAGTCAAGGTGTGTGGCTGTTGTTTTTGTGGTGTGTATCTAGAACAATTTGACATGACATTTCACATTAAGACAAATATTAAGATTAGCATTACAGTTAATACTAACAGCTCTTTGCCTGCAACCTTGGCCTACATGCACTTTGCAAGCACATGAAATTAAACTGAGCAGTTAACAGCCTGAGCTAGACATCCTGTCTACCCTACACATTTCTAGACAACAAATCTCTGAATATCTATCTAACTAAGAAATAACCTAACAGTAGTTCTGTTAGTTTGTGTGCCTTGTAACTCCTGTTGTTTTTGTCACAGAAGCTTAAATCATGCATTTTTTTAAATTTGTTTTATTCCAGACTTGACTTTGGTGCATTATTCTCCAGCCTTAGAAATGAATTGGCATGCTGTCTCATAACTCTCATAACATCTGCTTTTCAGAGCAGCTTAGATTTAATTATACGTTTCTCTCTGCTTGTTATTTGAGTCCTTTATTTTCAGGAAATCATGTTATGATAGTCAAAAAAATGTAAATGATCTTTCTTGGACAATTGTGCTGCTCTAATGGTTACACATGCACTTGCGGTCTGTGCATTGAGTGTGTGCTTGGCGGTGTCGTCATCAGGGGCGGCTGTGGCTCAGGAGGTAGAGCGGGTCGTTTCCTAACCGGAGGATTAGCGGTTCGATTCCCGGCTTGTCTAGTCAACATGTCGAGGTGTCCTTGAGCAAGACACTGAACCCCCAGTTGCTCCCGGTGATGTCATCGGTGTGTGAATGCGTGAGTGCTTGGGAGTGCGAATGGGTGAATGGCCGAATAATGTGAAAGCGCTTTGAGTGTGCTGTAAAAGCATAGAAAGGCGCTATACAAGTATAAGACCGTTTACCATCAGTTAAGTGTTTGTTAGTTGACATCATCAAGGTTTTCCTATTTGCTCTCTCTCTCTCTGTGGGGGTGTGTGTGTTTGTGTGTGGTGGCGGCCTGTGTTATCAGTAGGATCAGATTGGATCGGCCTGAAAATGGCATTTCTGCCATTACTCCGATGGTGATGGCTCAATACTGTATCTTTCTAGTGCTGAGATGGGGTGTGTGGATGTGTGGATGTGTGGGTGGGTGTGTGTCTGTACACTACTAACTCTATAATTCAGTAAGTGTACGTCTGTTTTGATAACACAACTTTTCTTTAGTATTTTGTAGTAGCTGGCCTGTCTGTGAAAGTTTTATTGTTGTGTGTGTGTGTGTGTGTACATGCATATTGAGTATCAGTGTCATATCTACATTTTTAAATTCTCACAATATAATTCACAATGTAATATGAAAATGTCTAATCATTAAAATGGGACGCTGTTCAAGCCAGTGTGTGGATATTGTAACTACTTCTAACTATGTAATACTGCATCTGCTTCCTCTGGATGGCATAACATTTACCTGTACAGGAGTGAGTGATATTCTTTTGTTTATACTTTGGTGTGTGTGCAGGAGCGGGATGCTGAGCGGCGAAGACAGCTGAGAGAACGAGCAAGGCAGCTGATAGCTGAGGCTCGATCTGGAGTCAAGATGTCCGATATGAGTTTGCTGGATGCATCCGGCAGTGAGAGAGGCAGCAAGACCCGCCCTGCTGGAGGTCAGGCATCACGACACACACACACACACACACACACACACACACACACACACACACACACACGGCAGCAACAACAAACATAAGCAAATAGGTTTTATGGGCATGTAGGATTTTTATTTACATCCTCATTACCAAACCTTCAGAGTTTGATTAAAAGGCCTTACAGTCAACACACACACACACACACTTGCTAACTACACACATACTCATTAACTGTTGTACAAAAGAAAAGTCGCACTGGCATGCTTTTGACACTTTCTTCATTCACATGTTACGACCCACACATTTCCATTATGCTCTCTAAAGGGGTTCTGCCTAATCCTCAGAGAAAAACAAAATGTCATTTGACAGTGGCCGCGGGTCTAGAAAGCACCACCATATTCAGAACAGCAGTTTACTCTGCGACTCCTCCTCCCTCGTCTTGTTCGCCCAGTAATGGTTAATCAACACAACACATTATGCAGCCAAATTATGCTCAGAACACCAAACACTTCTAATAATATGTAGGAGTAGTAAAAGCTACCATATATATTTCCCACAGCTTTCCATTTCCTTGAAACTGGGGTTATTATGATAATGACCATTATTAGGTCTTTTTGGTCATTTGTTTCAGATTCCCTCACATTGCACCCCTGTTTTGCTTGTTCAGGTGCTGTGCATGCAAATGATGGGTGAGAGCATAGCGAGGTGAGGACGAAGAGTGAGGAGCAGAAGAGGCGGAAATAAAATGAATAGTTGAATTGTGAATGAGGAGCAGGAGAGAACAAGTGTTAAAACTTCAAAAACAGGGATAGGGGGGTGCCCTGATAGCCGAATGGTTACAGTGTGGTGCACCGTGTACATAGGATCAGTGTGCATGCGATGTCGGCAGATTGAGTCTGGCCACCGACCTATGTCGCTCCCCTCCACGTCTCCAGTCCTTCCTGTCCACATCTCTGTGACACACTTAACCCCATGAAAAAATGATAAATAAAGCCTAAATGCCCTAAAAAGTAACTTAAAGCAGAGATACCTGGTAGAATGTGGGTTCCACTTGGTTGGTGAGGAGGTAGAGGGGAAGAAAGAGTGAAAAGAATACATATAGAAAGAGTAAGACATGTAGGTAGGTTATCAGGAACCTAGTGTCCAGAGTGTGGTGGTGGGTTCCTTTTAGATGAGCAAACGACTCTATAACTAACAAACCCTGAACGACAAGAAGTGAGATCAGCGACTTCTTCTGTAAAACGACAGAAGAAAGACAGTGAGGCAGAGAGAGGGTAGCCCTTGACTTATTTGCTCTTTCAGCTTTTCTGGATTGGACTAATTGTTGATCTCATTAAAAATGGAGTTGGAGGAAAGAACGGAACAAGGGAGAAGGAGGAGGAGGTGGTGAGGAGGAGAGGGAAATGCTGTGGGCTGTGATACACAAGGCCTGCCGAGCAGAACGGCTAATCCTACCCCCGACACTCTCTCTCTGTCTTTCTTCCTTCCTCTCTCTCCTTAACACCATTCAGTCCTTTACTGCCAGCCCAGGCTGCCCCCTCCAAGTGTCTGCCCGCAATGAAATTTTCCAAACTCCACCACCATGGCCTCCCATTAATTAGGCCCCAGACAGCCACGCAGTAACAGCACTTGCTAGCATGCTCCACGTCACAGCTAGCAAATTAAAAAAAAAAAAAAACAGGAAATGTTGTTATTTTGATTCTGTCTCCTTCTCTTTTTGTTCTCGGTCTCTGCCCACAAAGTAGTAAATAGCAGAGGAGGGAGCTTGCAGTGTCGGACGCTATTTACTGATTGTTTTGTTTTAATCCATGGTGGGTTATCCATGTAGCTAGAGCTGCTCAGGTCTCCGTTAGAGTTTCTTCTAACATGTTTTTACTTTTGTTCCTAATGTGGAGACACTGTTGTTTCTCTTGAGCCCCTCAGGAGACTTAATGGAATATGTGCTTTCATGTTTTAGTGGTTTTTGTTTGCCCTTCCTCTTTTGTCTGGAAATGGAAAGGCTGGCAACAGATCTTTGAATGAGAGAAATTAAACATTGGTCTCAGTTTCTCTTTGTCTGTCAGATATTTTAACAGCTATGCACATAAACCTGCACAGATATATAGACACCAATCAATCAAAGTCATTTCTCTACTTCTACAATTAATTTGGTTAGATAATAGATTGGTTGGTTGTGCTGTGGACAAATGTATTAATTAGTTTAATGTCCTTGTACCACAATCAGGAAGACACACTAAGCTCTAACATTCCTTAGGCGTTCCTTAAATATAAAGGTGAAAATGTACTTGCAAACAGATCATAGATTACTCAGTCTTGGTTATTGACTATGGTCTTATATATGCATTCTCACCACAGATGGCGTACCTATAACACAAACTAACCAAGTGCTTCTGTCTTCATCTTTTAACACCCATCCTTCTCGTTCTTCGTCCCCCTCTCCTCTTTCTTTGCATCCTCGCCTTCTACCTTTCCTTTCTCATTATTTTCCTCCCATCCTTGTCTCCTTGACTCGCTCCTTTCCATATTTCCCTCGGTCTTTTTCTCTCTCTCTCACTCTGCACCCACAGATGTTTTGCACGGAGTGAGAGGTCATCATGAGGATGACGGTGTTGATGGTGAAAGGGGTGAGGATGAGTGGAGGGCTAAGCAGGAGAAGGTCCATTTTGATAGTGGTGATGATGGTGAGATTGCTGCTGCTGGTACATCTGCATCTACGCTGGTTACTAATCCACTGCCACTGGAGGCCCCTCTTCCAGCCACTTCCAGCACCCATGGGCCCCTGGAGCTTACTAACACCAGCTCTGAGCTAACCTGTCTGGGTAAAATCACTGGCTGAAGCTGTGTGGTGCTGCATGGTTCCCTGTCTCTTATTTACCTGTTTGAACCTTCTTTGACATGTCTTCTGCAATTCAGTGGTTAGCTATCACATATGCCCCAATAATGTGCAGTTTCTCTATCTCTCTCTCACTTAATCACACACTCATTACTCACTTACTTGCTGATATACCTGAATGTGAATGGTCTCTCTCTACGACACATTTGACAGAACATCTGATGGATGATTTGTTAAGCAGATGAATGCAGTGGACAGACATGTAGTGAAGATCTCATGCAGTTTTTCCAAAGACCAGTCATGTCTGAAAGGCCTTCATCAAAATTTGAACACGCTGGCATTCACTTTATTAGACATTTAAACACTCTTCTTTCATTCAGCCACTCACCCAAGTGCATGCTGTTCATCTTTCAGTGCATTTTATTGAATGATCCTCTGTGCACCTTCCCCTCTGACCTCTACATCCTGTTGGCTCTGTGCTCATTGATGCTCCACACTGGAGGAACGAACACTGTATATGTTCGTTTTGGGGCTGCCATACAGATTTTTTTTTTCTCTTCACAAGAAACTTCTTTAAGTAGTAATTAAACCCTGAAAAGTGCTTCTGAGAAAAACATTGACTCATATCTTCAGGAAAGCATTTGCTCACATCTTTATAGGTGAATTAATTACTTTGTTTTGTATTTAATTTGTTTTATTTGCTGCTTCATTTTCCTGCCGATGTGAGATAGGTGAGAGTACAGCCAGGGACCAGAAGAAACAAACAGACAAACGCTTCCTCGGGCTTTGAAGTGCAGTATCTCTGCACTATTTGTTTTTTCTTATTTGTGTTTCTCTTTTTTCTTCTCTGTTGGTGGTAATTTTATGTGGACTTGGGAAAAAATGAATGGTGGTGAAGTTTCTGATACCATACATCACTCTGCAAATAGTTTCCCCCTAAATTTTCAGTTTTCGTCATCATTGTTCTTTAGCCCATGGCACTGACCCCATTTATTTCACTCCGTTTGCTTCATGTACATTATTTTGGCATGTACTGTAAGTACATGTACTATAGGCATATGAGTCTGTATGTGTTTCTTTATATTTTTACATGTGTTTGTAATCTGTTTGCATGCATTATGGGATGTGTGTGTGTGTGTGTGTCACGAGGGGAGGTGACACATGAAACGGTTGCCCTCCTGTTCTTTCATGTTCTTCAGTGCAGTGGTCTGGCCTGGCAGGGGAGCTGTGGTTACCAGACCCTGGAAAATAAAGCTGTATGCCACTACTGCAAGGCAGAGAGAGGGACTGAAGAGAAAATAGGATAAAACAAATTAAGGATGGATGTCGGTAAACAAAGGGAGGAATTTAGGTTTCACAGATGGGATTAGAAGAGTCAAATTAATGGGCATAGGTGTTAAAAGCACTGAAGGATTTAATAACAAAGTAGATAATTATTTCAGCATAAATGTGAAATTATTTTGGCCTTTAAAAGTGGATTTGGAGACTGTTTTAGGGAGGTTGTTGATTCACCTTGGTGATTATTGGAAGGCTATGGTGCTGAATTGTTTTGCAGTGTAGTGCTGAATTAAAAACATCAGTGTTCACCTGGCTTTTCCCAATGAGAAGAGAACAAACACTTAAGATGAGACATGCTCCCCCATCTGTCTTTTTCTGTCCTTGCATCTTGCCCTGTGGTTACCATGGCGATAGTCCCAGCAATGCACACTCAGTACCGCCGCAGCTCTCTGCAGTACAAACAAGACCTGAGGCTGCCTAGTCTGTCCAGATCTCTATCTTTCTCACACATCATATATATATACACAATATATGCTGTATATCTCTTCCTACTTGTGTTTGTATGTTCTTTATCAGTCAGTATCCCCAAGTGTGTGTGTGTGTGTGTGTGTACATGAATGCAAACTAAGTTGTATCCTCTTTCTTTTTTGTCTTTTTAACTTTGTAGGAGTGTCTCTTTGTTGTGTGTCTGCTGTATGTGACATTCAATGCCTTTGTGCAATTCAGATATCTGTGTTTTACACTTGGACTCATTATCCTTTTCTGTCACTGTGTCTCTCTTCCTCTCTCCAGGTACCAACAGTAAGCATGTAGATCTGAAGCTGTGCAAGCTAGTGGAGGTCAACCCAAGAGGAGTCACCTCCCCTTCATCCCCATCCTCCACCTCCTCCTCCTCGCCCACTTCCTCTTCCACCTCCCCGCTCAGCCCTGTAGAAGGACTGGAGGTATGGGCATGCTCACCTCAAAACACCCACAGGGTGCCTTTGTTTTCTTTCTTTATATTTGTTTTCTCTCCATCTCTCTTACCTTTTATCCACCTCCTGCTCTTTCTGTTTTTCTCTCTACCCACACTATCAAAGGTTCAGTCCAATCAATCAGGTCCAACTGACCCTGGTTGTCAGTCAGCTGACCCTGTCATTAGTCAATTGGACTACTTTATGTAAGACTATAGTTTATCACTTTCGTGTCCATATGACTCTGTCTAAAGCCATGAGACACACACACTCACAGTGGCATCATAATGCTCTCCATAACATGTAGCGTTCCCCCTCTATTGACCTTTTCAGACAGTTGTTGTGTGTGTGTGGACGGGAGGTTGTTGCTGTACAATGTGTCCATATCTTCTGATGTGAATATTGAGCCGGCCAGCCTTAACATCTGTTTAATTGATTTTGAATGTCAAGTGGAATAAGGTGAGTGTGTGTGTGTGTGTGTGAGAGACTGTCAGTACAAGCTAAGCCCTCTGTGCTTATGGCGAGACAGGGTGTCTTTGATCATCAATTCACATAAACACCCACTTGTGTTCAAAGCCTAAAAGGCTTAGTCCTTTATGGCCAAAACAGTGTGTATGTGTGCGTGCGTTACCGCTTGGCCGTCACAGAGTAGAATCACCATTTGGTTGACACCTAAGCCAATCCAAAACACCTTAACCAAAAGTGTGTGCAATCAGTTCCCTGCTCTGTTTGTTTTTTTAAATTCTTGACAGTGAACTTTGGTTAGCACCTTACACAGGAGCTCCATAGCCATCAGTATATGAATGTGGGTGGGTGTGTCTGATGAGAGGCATTACATGTTCTCAGGATAAAAACCTTTTCTAAATGATGCCTCTGTGTAACTGTTGATCACATTTTGAAACATACTACTCAGCTATCTTGACAGAATTCATTAGTTTTAATTAATTCATAGTGATTTTGTTGCAGTTTGCTGATGAACTACAGTGTCCTATTACTATATTACCTTGTTGTGAATATGCACAGTTTGCACAGGAGTTAACATTCACAATTTGCAGTTTCATCTAAGGACTGACGGTGCATTCATAGGTTTCCAACCGAGCCATATATTGCAGCCTAAACAAGTCTGCAGTACCTAATTTTAGGTCTGTATTGCAGTGAGCACCCATACAAAGACTACTTCTTATCAAAAGGTTTCTCGATTTACCAAAAGCAGTTTTTATGTCAAATATTTTAGTATTATTTGCAGTGCTTCTCTAGTCTACCTCCATGTTGGTGCCATATATTGCCATAATTCAACCTAAAACTATTCAAATAAATGTTATGTTATAAGCTGTTTACAGTTCATGTATGTGCATGCACAGTTGTGCAAGTTTACGCCTCCTGTCCTTTAAAAAGGATAAACTGTCTTGTCCCTGGAGGATTGGGCATCCCAAAAGTCCTTCAGGCGGGTGGAACGACCTGCCGGAACATCACATACGGACACACACACTGCCCCTCTCATTAGTGATTGTGTGTATGCGCAGCCTCGGTGGTGCACGATAAGGGCATGTGACGCTCAGCAGACTGCAACATTAGTCACGCAGCCCCCTGCATGTGCATTCACAGACTCACACACACCAAAAGCACTGAATCACCACTGCCACAGCCTACCACAGCGATGATAGTAGCGATAAGAGATGAAGATGGAGAGTGAAAGAGAGTAAGATGGGAGGAGGGAAGGGACACCCCAATATCTGCTTGTCCCAGAGCGTCAAAGAGACGGGGGCAGCCAAGTAAGCAGGTGCCGCAAGAGAAAAAGACACTGAAGGCCAGTGTTGTTGTCTGTTCATCATCATATTGATGTGTTCATACAGGTCTGGTTACTGTGGCAGCAGTTTAACTTTCAAGCAGTGACTCTTAACCACTAGCTGTAGTCTAGTGAACAAGTCGCCTTCACAGGAGTTAAACAATAAGTAATAACTAGGGAGACAGCTTCAGTGTCCTAATCAGTCTCCCAGGGATTTAATCTTATAAACATTTCCCTGTAGATAGTGCAAGAGCCTGCAGTTTTTACCAGTAACTACACTAAAAATGCCAAAGAATAAAAAAACAAATCCTTCCCATGAAGATATGACAAGGGCTGTGGCATTAATCCAATAAATTCTATGACATCCAATTATCAGTGACTGTTTTCCTTTAAACAAACATAAAATCAGCCACTTGATGGACTCCTGTCCACAGGAACTTATGGAACTACGAGTACATTGTTTCAGGAGGTGGCTGAAGTGGAAATTTAACTCCGGACTCTAATGGTGTGCTATTGTGTCCTATTGTGATTTACACACACCCCATTTGGGCTAACATCACATTATTTAATTTGATCATTTGGTGCTGCCTTAAAATTAGCTTTAACATATAGGACATGTTTTTGTGATTATCATTCATTAAAAGAAGTTGTTGTTTTTTTTCCTAGGAAGTGATTACAGACACCAGTCACCAGAGGAAGTCAGCTGCCTACCTATATTGCTACCTAGCAGTAGACTGGGAGAACTTTTATGTACCAGTTTTATCTCATCTCCTTTCCATCAATCAATAATTTTAGTTTCCTCTCTGCTCTTCCTGCCGTGTTACTGCCCCTAAGGTTGACATGCACACACACAAACAGTAGCACGTTCAAACATCCAAGCTCTGGCCTTATATTTTAATATGTTTAATTGGGAATTTTGTATCATAAATAAAATTGCCTTGATTTGACTTGACATAAGGATTTAAGTGGCTGGTGGAAGCTGACAGACTAATGGACAAAGGAAAGTAGAGCAGACTAATTGCTGACATTACTTTTGAAAGACAATAATCTGAAGCTAAACTAACAACTCCCCACCCAGACTGTCTCTATTAGTCGCCCTCGCTCTGCACATCCTGCTTGACTATCTCCCTCTCTCAAGCAGTGGAACATGTTTGCCCTAATTGTCAACTTTATTACACGTTTCGCCATCTTATTAACGTTACCACAACGTCAATCTTAGCTGCAGTCTGTTTCTTTTCCACTCGGCTTGGCATATTTGGAGGCCTGGTAATAAACCATTTCTGCATGCTGTGTGTGATAGTGGGAGAAGCGAGCGTGTAGCTTTTTAACACATGTTCACTTTGAAAACAATAGCGGTTTTTTGCATTTTGCATAATCTGAATATATTTTCTGGCTGGGGGTTTTGTTGAAAGTCAAGTTAATTGCCTCCTTTTTGTCTCTCTCATGAGTGAGGGAGAGAATGCAAGAGAGAGTTGTGTGTGTGTGTTGTGAGAAGTGTTCATGCAAATAAGCAAACTGCAATGTACCAGTATATCAACTTCTACCACATGTGTCTCATTGCCTGTCGGTAGGTGTGTTTGCACACTCATATTTACATATATGCACTAATGTAATGAGCGCATATGCCTGTGGTGTGTAGGTGTGTTTGTTCACAAAGCAGCTGTGAAATTTTGAAACAACTGTTGAATAAAAGCTTGAGAGCAGATCCAAGTGGCAAGGTAGAGGCTGACAGGAAAAACAGATGGGATGTGGAGAGGCACCAGACTAGTTGTTGACATTTTTATTTTGTCGGTAGTTTGTTTAACCAACTACTCCATCCATGTGTTTTGTTTTTTTCTTTTTGTACCAGCTGTTGTTTAAAGGTGAACTGTAGTTGTGCACTTTTTGAACTTGCATTCATCCTTCAGTGTGTTCGCCCATCTCCTCACATCTCTGGATTGTACATTTTGAGAACAGATTGTGAGAAATCTATAATTTGAGTGCTGTGAATGGTTTAGACGGAGTGCAACGTCAAAAATAGCCTTGTGAGAGATGTAATACAATGACTGCTGAGGCTGAATGCACATTTTTCTGTGTCTGACAGAACAACGCAGTGGAGTTAAGAGCAGAGCGCCTGCGCAGAGCTACAGAGAAGTTGCGTAGCCCGGTAGTCTTCAACAAGGACTCTACAGTTAGGAAAACACAGCTGAAGTCCTTCAGCCAGTATGTGGAGAGCAGACCGGGTAGGCAACAATGCAGCACAAACACACAAGCGGTGCCTATTTATCCAGGGAGGTATATTTGCACACACTCCCACCTTAGCGCAGGTAAATGGAAGGTACATACACAAACAAACACTTTCTCTGCCCTCCATCTTGCTCCTGTGTTGGTTGACTAACATATCTGTTGCAAGATCTGATCAGATCTTTAGACGCATTTCTAGAGTTCACAGTGCAAATCTAACTGTTTCATATGAAAAACCTCAGTAAGCCATTAGCTCAGTCAAACAAATGAAGGCTGACACTTTCTCAAGAATTCTGTCACACAAGGGAACGTCAGCCTCACCACTACTACCAGCCGCATGGCACTCTTGAGTATGTTAAACATTTATATGCAAGGACAGATCCTCTTATTATAAATTCCTCCTCCTCTATGTGCATTTTGCTGTTAATTTTGAAGTCACAGGTCATTGTTTTCTTACTTAACATCAGCCCATCCATCCATGTGTTCATCCTCACAGAGGTTAAGGCACAGAAGTCTGTTCCTGAAGATCTGAAGAAGGCCGAGGAGGACAGGGGCTCACCGACAGAGGTCGATGCTCGCAGGCCGTTTGAAGAGGAGGTTTGTCCTTGTTTTCTCCGAAGTCATACTTCTGTTTGCACAGAGATAAAGTTTTAGTGCATACCCAAAACTTTATCCCACTTGCAACAACTGACACAAAAAATAGAAGAAAAATGAGTCAGTGGTGTGATATTGGTCCAACTTAACAACTCTAGATTGTGTTTCTGCTTGGCTGTGGCCACCAGTTTCCCTTCAGTTCACTTTCCCTGTGTAATGTGCACAAAGAATGAGGTAGTCTTGGCAAAGACAAGGGTAGCTAGGGGTCGGAAGTGAAGTTGGAAGTTGTCCCTTAATTGCTCCCAAATGGTCATTTTTATTTCCTGTTAGTCAGCTTTATTTCTGTCTGTCCTGGCTTGTTTTAGATAAATCTGTCGGTGAGCTCTTCTCTCTGCTATGCTTAAATTTCCCTTTTCGTCACCTTGTCCACTTCTCAGCCTCCCATACACACTCTCTCTTTTCCCCTCTCTCTCTCCTGTCCTGTCTTCTCCACACAGACATCTAAGTATTGATCTAACTTACTGCCATTTTAATTATAACAATGGTAGATATCAGCTGCTCTGCCATTTAGAGGTGTGTGTGTGTGTGTGTGTGTGTGTGTGTGTATGCGTGTGTCTTGGGAAAGAAGTTATGCCTGCATGTCCTTCAAGTGTATACACACACTCTCAGCCTGTGTTTGAACTTACAAAGAATCTGTCTATAAGAATGCTATTATTTCACTCGGTGTGTATGCGAGTGTGCGTGCCACTAGAGACCACGGGGTGAATCTCTCTTTCCATGCAGCCCTCTCCTGCTCTCAACCCTGCACCCTCCACCCCAGCACATACACACACACTCACCCTCCTCCCCCTCCCAGTGCCTGGGCCCCAGGGTTAATGGGTGTTCAACCTTTCCATTATCCCGATCAGCCAAGAATTACCTGCTGAATGATGTTTGCATTAATATAATATATATGGTAATTTCCCTCCTCTTAATTACGGCTGGGCCGAGCGCGGCAAGGGGAGTGGGCTGATCATGTGTAAAATTGATTTGCCAAGGAAAAATATGGTGATAGAGCGAGAGCGCGCAAGGGAGGAGGAGGGAGGGGGAGAAAGAGGCTGTTGGAAGTCAACACACACACACACACACACACACGCACAAATCACGCGCGCACAGAACCACAC